TCAGCGTCTCTCGAACCATCCATCTATACTTCACGAACTCTGATATCTGACATTACGACGTATGGAAAAACATTCAGTCCTCCTATTGAAATATAACGTTCACTTCACAAATCATTTATTCTTCTCAGGCGTCCATTCATGCGTCCTCTCTCAGTCAGGGCCGAACTTCAACTGCCTTACTTCAGTCTCTCGGTTCACGTCTTCCGTTCACGTCTCATGCTTTTCTTGTGTCTCTCACTTCATTCACCATGAGACACACGAGACTCACTTCTCCCGTTTTTCTCTTCTCTCACGGGTCCTCCGACCTTTTTCTCCCCATCGGGAACTCTCTGGGGTTTCCCCGGGAATTCACAACATTACAGTTGGCAGTTGTCAACTGTCATGTTATTTTTGGCAGTTGTCAACTGTCATGTCATTGTTGGCAGTTGTCAACTATCATGTCATTGTTGGCAGTTGTCAACTATCATGTCATTGTTGGCAGTTAACTGTCATGTCATTGATGGCAGTTGTTAACTGACATGTCATTGTTGGCAGTTGTCAACTATCATGTCATTGTTGGCAGTTGTCAACTGTCATGTCATTGTTGGCAGTTGTCAACTGTCATGTCATTGTTGGCAGTTGTCAACTGTCATGTCATTGTTGGCAGTTGTCAACTGTCATGTCATTGTTGGCAGTTGTCAACTATCATGTCATTGTTGGCAGTTGTCAACTGTCATGTCATTGTTGGCAGTTGTCAACTAGCATGTCATTGTTGGCAGTTGTCAACTGTCATGTTGTTATCTTAGCCCACATTTAAGGTAGTAAGCTGCATGTAGCTGGCTACGCCTTTTTATTACATATAATTCAGTGCTGTTGTTTGTCCAATATCCTTTAGTATTGTCCTTTGTTGCAGATGTAACTCTGGTCGTGAGTGTATTGTGTGGGGTAGTTGTGGCAATCACTTGCAGCTCTGTAGCAGATGTAACTCTGGTGGTGAGTGTATTGTGTCACTTTGGCACATAGTTCGTTAGGGTGTTTCGTCAACGTCCGGAGGGACTGTCGATGTGCATGTTTGGGAAGACAGTAGAAGACTTGACAGTGTGTCATCGATTACCTTTAATCTTCGCTGTTTGTCCATAATTAAGAGTTTGAGGCAATATAAAGGATCATACTTGGCGTGGTTACTGTACTCATAGACTAGTTACTTATGGATATGTGTTAGCTTGTCACAAGTGTGTGGTGTATAGTTGTGCCCTTGTTTGTGCTACAGATACTCACAACCAACATGTGCCCTGAGAGTGGGCAACCATGAGTGACTCCAGTGTATGGGTGTAGGACAGACATTTATAAGCATTTATAATAAAACCCCCCAGATGCTTGGCAAGTGTGCGGTACATTCTCCAACCGCATGCAATTTTGTGGCGACTGTTGGCTTTGGCACCTCTAGCAACTGCCATATGCATTTACTAGCTGCACATATTTCTGGATTGTGCTGCGACTATTTGCTGGTTCACTAGTTTCTACAATTGGACAATGATGGACATTTCCTTTGATTTTCACTGGCACAGTAACGGAGCAAGTTTGTGGTGACCTGCAGGGAAGTTGATGATATCTGTTTTAGCCTTCAGGTGTTTGATGTACACAAAATATGTCCACAGTAAACACATCAGTCTTGATACCTGTGGTTCAGCTGGTGCTATCCATATTCCATATATTTCTGTTGTTGACCAGTTGTCACACGTGCCTGATTTATGGCCACCTTTATTTCACAAAACTTTTCCTGGTGACTAGACTAGAGTATAGTGAGCCAGTTACGTGTTTGGCCACCTTTATTTCACAGAAATTTTCCTGGTGACTATAGGGGATAGTGAGCCAGTTACGTGTTTGGCCACCTTTATTTCACAGAACTTTTCCTGGTGACTAGACTAGGGTATAGTGAGCCAGTTACGTGTTTGGCCACCTTTATTTCACATAACTTTTCCTGGTGACTAGACTAGCGTATAGTGAGCCAGTTACGTGTTTGGCCACCTTTATTTCACAAAACATTTTCTAGTGGTCATATTCAGACGAAGGTATGGTGAGCTGGCTACATGTGTAGCCACCTTTATTTCACAAAACATTTCCTGGTGACTAGACTAGCGTATTGAGCCAGTTACGGGTTTATTTTACAGGGTGACTTTGCTACCAGTGTGTTTGGCCACCTTTATTTCACAAAACATTTTCCTGGTGGTGACTAGACTAGCGCATAGTGAGCATATTCAGACTAGGGTAGGGTGAGCTGGCTACCTGTGTGGCCACCTTTATTTCACAGAACATTTTTTGGTGGCCATGTTTAGACTAGGGTATAGTGAGCTGGCTAAATGTGTGGCCACCTTTATTTCACAGAACATTTCCTGGTGGCCATGTTAAGACTAGGGTATAGTGTGACCATGCTGGACATAGTTATCTCAGTGGTCAAGCCATTTGCCTTGCACTCAGAAGTTGGTGGCTGACTCCATAATTGCAATTTTGTATGAGATCCCTGGCAAACGTTGCATGAGCTGTGGAGTTTGTGCTTTGTGACCAGCACTGTGGGCAGGCAACTATCCATTCTGCAGAGATAGACTGAGTCACACTGGAAAACCTCAGTGCAGTAAAGCCAGTCCTTTCAACATTAACTTTAATATATAGACATAGCTATGAAGAGGCCAAGTGGGGATTACAGTCAGTCAAAAAAGCTGCATAGGATCATATTAACATACCAACCAGTTTGAAACAAGTTGACTAAATAGCAGTCTTAGGACCCCACACTGGACGACATCACCAGATGAAATACTGATCAGTAAGCTCGTGAATGAGTTCTCTTGTATGCTGCAGCCAAAGTGTGAGACATTGTTTAATTGTACAACAGAAAATCCGTAAACATATGTCTTTTTTTTTGACTTCACAGACTTTGTATAAGGAAGCAGAAAGTGGATCTAGCCGCTCCTGTGATTGCCAGCACAACCGGGGTCACAGATGAGAATCCATAAGCCCTCAACACCTCCACCGTCGACTGCCTCGTTCAAGTGAGTAATACCCAGCTGACTGGGTCCTTGTCACCAGGGATATAATTATTTTACCAATGTTTCTGACATTTTTTATCTTTATTAATAGTATCTTCTTTGTCTTCTTCCTCGTTTGATTTGTGTGTCCCCCTGGGAGCATAGGCCCCTAACTAGTTCTCTGCTGCATGAGATATCCAGCTACAGGCCAACCCTCCATAGTTGATCTTATGACATGCATCTTTTCTGCAACAACATACAGTATTTCACAATCAGTAAAGAAGGAAATCAGAGCTTTTGAATTGCACAGTTCTGGGAAGGATAACCCGGTCAACAAATGCCTGCGGAAGTCAGATGTGTCGGCTGAAAAGAGCAGATATCGCAGCTGTGCTGTAAACAGGCACAACACAGATATATCTTTGGATGAAGATAGAAGAAATTGCACAGTCTCAGAAACATCCATAGAACATGCTGGATGAGAAGACAGTCACAGAAACCCCAACATTTTAACAGCCAGGTTTCCACAGACTGAAATATTTAGTCACAGATACATAGAATAAAAAAAAGTAATGGAAACCTTGGATTCCACCTCCATATATTTCTGTTGTGGACCAGTTGCCTGATTTATGGCCACCTTTATTTCACAGAACATTTCCTGGTGGTCATGTTTGGACTAGCTGATGGTAAGCTGGCTACATGTGTGGCCACCGTTATCTCCTCACAAAACATTTTCTAGTGGTCATTCAGACGAGGGTAGGGTGAGCTGGCTACCAGTGTGGCCACCTTTATTTCACAGAACATTTCCTGGTGGAGATGTTCAGACTACTAGGGTATAGTGTGACCATGCTGGACATAGTTATCTCAGTGGTCAAGCCATTTGCCTTGCACTCAGAAGTTAGTGGCTGACTCCATAATTGCAATTTTGTATGAGATCCCTGGCAAACGTTGCATGAGCTGTGGAGTTTGTGCTTTGTGACCAGCACTGTGGGCAGGCAGCTAGCCTTTCTGCAGAGAGAGACTGAGCGGGAGGGAGGGAGGGCGTGAGAGAAGGGTAGAGAGGGAGGGCATGAGAGAAGGGTAGAGAGGGAGGGGGTAAGAGGGGAGAGATTAAATGTTAACAGGGATTTAATTGTTACCAGTGCTTAGTCCAGACAAAGGACTAAGCCTTGTGTAATGATACCGTAGATGTAGAGATCATGTTATTTATGTGAATGTGTGTGGCATGAGCTTGGGCGACCCGTAGATGTAGAGATCATGTTATTTATGTGAATGTGTGTGGCATGTGCTTGGGCGACCCGTAGATGTAGAGATCATGTTATTTATGTGAATGTGTGTGGCATGAGCTTGGGCGACCCGTAGATGTAGAGATCATGTTATTTATGTGAATGTGTGTGGCATGTGCTTGGGCGACCCGTAGATGTAGAGATCATGTTATTTATGTGAATGTGTGTGGCATGAGCTTGGGCGACCCATAGATGTAGAGATCATGTTATTTATGTGAATGTGTGTGGCATGTGCTTGGGCGACCCATAGATGTAGAGATCATGTTATTTATGTGAATGTGTGTGGGCATGAGCTTGGGCGACCCGTAGATGTAGAGATCATGTTATTTATGTGAATGTGTGTGGCATGTGCTTGGGCGACCCATAGATGTAGAGATCATGTTATTTATGTGAATGTGTGTGGCATGTGCTTGGGCGACCCATAGATGTAGAGATCATGTTATTTATGTGAATGTGTGTGGCATGTGCTTGGGCGACCCATAGATGTAGAGATCATGTTATTTATGTGAATGTGTGTGGCATGTGCTTGGGCGACCCATAGATGTAGAGATCATGTTATTTATGTGAATGTGTGTGGGCATGAGCTTGGGCGACCCGTAGATGTAGAGATCATGTTATTTATGTGAATGTGTGTGGCATGTGCTTGGGCGACCCATAGATGTAGAGATCATGTTATTTATGTGAATGTGTGTGGCATGAGCTTGGGCGACATGTGTCACACGCATGCTCTAGTTAGTATATGTTTGGGGGCAGAGTTTGACAGGTGTTGATTAGATTTTAAACCATAAAGTACTAGAGGTGAGTGCCGAGAGAGAGTGACTTGGTCTTGAATAGTGCTATGTGTGTCCTCTCAGTGGCTTTCTCACTTTCTTTTTGCAGTTCTTTGTGACTTACAAACAGCTGAAGGCCATGTACTAACTGGAACATTGGGCTCATTGGACATAGAAGCACCTGCAGTCAGACAGGTTGCCGGTTTGCTTGTCTGCTTTTGTGAAATCCTGGCCTTGGTAATGTGACTGGCAAAGTTGGCAAGTGGTTGGTGGTTCATCATCCTTCACGTTTCATTGTTTGCAGGACAAGAAGAATGAAGAGATTGAAGAACCTGCCGGTTTCATACACTGGACATAAGATATTTTGTGCTCCTGTGTTTATGATCATCTAATGTGAATATGTCATCATCATCATCATTGCCTAGAAGTAAACAGAAGGACATTATCTTTTCATACCAAGGTGAGATCCACTGATGTGGGTCCACATGTGTTATTTGATATTCTTGACTTTTTTTTTAAATGTAGTGTGTGTGTGAGAGTGGGTGAGGAAGGGCATTTCTACCCAAAGGAATAGGCATCGAAAACCTGAAGGGAGGGGGAAGAGGGGGAGGGGGGGAAAGGAGGGAGGGGGGGTAGAGGGGGGAAGAGAGGGAGGGGGGAGGGGGGTAAGAGAGGGGGGGAGAGGGGGGGGAAGAGAGGGAGGGGGGGGGGAAGGGGGGGGGGAGGGGGAGGGGAGGGGGGAAGAGGGGGGAGGGAAGAGAGGGAGGGGGGAAGAGGGGGGCAAGAGAGGGAGGGGGGGAGGGAGGGGGTAAGAGAGGGAGGGGGGTAAGAGAGGGAGGGGGGTAAGAGAGGGGAGGGGGAGAGAGAGGAGGGGGGTAAGAGGGGAAGGGGGGAAGAGAGGGGGGGGGTAGGGGGGAAGAGAGGGAGGGGGGTAAGAGGGGGGAAGAGAGGGAGGGGGGTAAGAGGGGGGAAGAGAGGGAGGGGGGAAGAGGGGAGAAGAGAGGGAGGGGGGTAAGAGGGGGGAAGAGAGGGAGGGGGGAAAGAGGGGGGAAGAGAGGGGGGTGGTAAGAGGGGGGAAGAGAGGGGGGGGGTAAGAGAGGGGAAGGGGGGAGGGGGGTAAGAGGGGGGAAGAGAGGGAGGGGGGTAAGAGGGGGGAAGAGAGGGAGGGGGGGAAGAGGGGGGGAAGAGAGGGAGGGGGGGAAGAGGGGGGAAGAGAGGGAGGGGGGGGAAGAGAGGGAGGGGGGGAAAGAGGGGGGGAAGAGAGGGAGGGGGGTAAGAGGGGGGGGAAGAGAGGGAGGGGGGTAAGAGGGGGGAAGAGAGGGAGGGGGGTAAGAGGGGGGAAGAGAGGGAGGGGGGTAAGAGGGGGGAAGAGAGGGAGGGGGGAAGAGAGGGAGGGGGGTAAGAGGGGGGAAGAGAGGGAGGGGGGTAAGAGGGGGGAAGAGAGGGAGGGGGGTAAGAGGGGGGAAGAGAGGGAGGGGGGTAAGAGGGGGGAAGAGAGGGAGGGGGGGAAGAGAGGGAGGGAGGGGGGGAAGAGGGGGGAAGAGAGGGAGGGGGGTAAGAGAGGGGGGAAGAGAGGGAGGGGGGGAAGAGAGGGAGGGGGGGAAGAGAGGGAGGGGGGGAAGAGGGGGGAAGAGAGGGAGGGGGGTAAGAGGGGGGAAGAGAGGGAGGGGGGGGAAGAGGGGGGGGGGTAAGAGGGGGAAGAGAGGGAGGGGGGTAAGAGGGGGAGAAGAGAGGGAGGGGGGTAAGAGGGGGAGGAAGAGAGGGAGGGGGGTAAGAGGGGGAGGAAGAGAGGGAGGGGGGTAAGAGGGGGAGGAAGAGAGGGAGGGGGGTAAGAGGGGGAGGAAGAGAGGGAGGGGGGTAAGAGGGGGAGGAAGAGAGGGAGGGGGGGTAAGAGGGGGAGGAAGAGAGGGAGGGGGGTAAGAGGGGGAGGAAGAGAGGGAGGGGGGTAAGAGGGGGAGGAAGAGAGGGAGGGGGGTAAGAGGGGGAGGAAGAGAGGGAGGGGGGTAAGAGGGGGAGGAAGAGAGGGAGGGGGGTAAGAGGGGGAGGAAGAGAGGGAGGGGGGTAAGAGGGGGAGGAAGAGAGGGAGGGGGGTAAGAGGGGGAGGAAGAGAGGGAGGGGGGTAAGAGGGGGAGGAAGAGAGGGAGGGGGGGTAAGAGGGGGAGGAAGAGAGGGAGGGGGGTAAGAGGGGGAGGAAGAGAGGGAGGGGGGTAAGAGGGGGAGGAAGAGAGGGAGGGGGGGTAAGAGGGGGAGGAAGAGAGGGAGGGGGGTAAGAGGGGGAGGAAGAGAGGGAGGGGGGTAAGAGGGGGAGGAAGAGAGGGAGGGGGGTAAGAGGGGGAGGAAGAGAGGGAGGGGGGTAAGAGGGAGAGGGAGGGGGGGAGAGGGAGAGGGAGGGGGGTAAGAGGGAGAGGGAGGGGGGTAAGAGGGAGAGGGAGGGGGGTAAGAGGAAGAGGGGGAGGGGGGGAAGAGGGGGAGGGGGGTAGAGGGGGGGGGGGTAAGAGGGGGAGGGGGAAGAGGGGGAGGGGGGGAAGAGGGGGAGGGGGGGAAGAGGGGGAGGGGGGGAAGAGGGGGAGGGGGAAGAGGGGAGGAAGAGGGGGGGGGGGGAAGGGGGGGGGGAAGAGGGGGAGGGGGGTAAGAGGGGGAGGAAGAGAGGGAGGGGGGTAAGAGAGGGAGGAAGAGAGGGAGGGGGTAAGAGAGGGAGAGAGGGAGGGGGGTAAGAGAGGGAGGGGGTAAGAGAGGGAGGGGGGTAAGAGGGGGAGGAAGAGAGGGAGGGGGGTAAGAGGGGAGGAGGGAGGGGGGTAAGAGGGGAGGAGGGAGGGGGGTAAGAGGGGGAGGAAGAGAGGGAGGGGGGTAAGAGGGGGAGGAAGAGAGGGGAGGGGGGTAAGAGGGGGAGGAAGAGAGGGAGGGGGGTAAGAGGGGGAGGAAGAGAGGGGAAGGGGGAGGAAGAGAGGGGAGGAAGAGAGGGGAAGAGGGGGAGGAAAAGAGGGGGAGGGAGAGAGGGAGGAAGAGAGGGAGGGGAGGAAGAGAGGGAGGGGGGGAAGAGGGGGGGAAGGAGGGGGGGAAGAGGGAGGGAGGGGGGGAAGAGGGAGGGAGGGGGGGAAGAGGGAGGGGAGGGGGGGAAGAGGGAGGGAGGGGGGGAAGAGGGAGGGAGGGGGGGGAAGAGGGAGGAGGGGGGAAGAGAGGGAGGGGGGAAGAGAGGGAGGGGGGAAGAGAGGGAGGGGGGAAGAGGGGGGAAGAGAGGGAGGGGGGGGAAGAGGGGGGAAGAGAGGGAGGGGGGGAAGAGAGGGGAAGAGAGGGAGGGGGGGAAGAGAGGGGAAGAGAGGGAGGGGGGGAAAGAGGGGGAGGGGGGGAAGAGGGGGTAAGAGGGGGAGGGGGGGAAGAGGGGGAGGGGGGGGGAGGGGGGAAGAGGGGGAGGGGGGGGTAAGAGGAGGGGGGAAGAGAGGGAGGGGGTAAGAGGAGGGGGGAAGAGGGGGAAGAGGGGGAGGGGGGGGAAGAGGGGGAGGGGGGGGAAGAGGGGGAGGGGGGGAAGAGGGAGGGAGGGGGGAAGAGGGAGGGAGGAAAGAAGACGTCAATTATGTGTTTGATAAATGTATATCTTGCTGGACCTGATAGCTAATAGTAGACATTGACTAGACCAGATCACCTGTAAAAGTGTAATCAAGAATATAACTAGATATCATCTACCAACTGTGTGCATTCAGAATGTCATCTATGTCTTATATATGAAACACCCCTAGCAACCAGTCAGCACATGGAGGAGACAATATCCCAGTATGACTGTTTATTTCTGTATTGTTGATATGACACTGTTTCTGTATTGTTGATATGACACAGTTTGTTTTGTACTGTTGATATTACAATCTTCTTCTTCTTCACTTCCTCTTTTACCACTGTGGGTGTCGAGGGAGATATAAGGTTCTGTTTCTAGCTCTTCTGGCTGCCTCGACCATAGGCACATCGTGCTGTTGTCAGCTGGGCTTTTCCATTTTTCTGGCGGAAACAATCAGTAGGGCTTCCCATTTTATTATGTTCTAGACAAATGGTCTTGTTCTATGTTCTAGACAAATGGTCTTGTTCTATGTTCTAGACAAATGATCTTGTTCTATGTTCTAGACAAATGATCTTGTTCTATGTTCTAGGCAAATGGCCTTGTTCTATGTTCTAGACAAATGGTCTTGATCTATGTTCTAAACAAATGGTCCTGTTCTATGTTCTAGACAAATGGTCCTGTTCTATGTTCTAGACAAATGGTCTTGTTTTATGTTCTAGTCAAATGGTCTTGTTCTATCTTCTTCTTCTTTACTTCCTCTTTTACCGCTGTGGGTGTCGAGGGAGATATAATGTTCTGTTTCTAGCTCTTCTGGCTGCCTCGACCATAGGCACATCGTGCTGTTGTAGAGTTTCTCTGATGTTATCCTTCCATCTTGTTCTTGGTCTACCCCGTGCTCTACGTCCTTCTTCTCTTTCCATGTATGCTTTGTATGGTATGGTGTCATAAGGCATTCTCTCTAAGTGGGCAAACCATTTAACTTGCTGTCTTTGTATGTAATCCAGAATTGGTTCTGTGCCGACTTGTTCTCTTATGATCTCATTCCTGATCTTATCTCTTATGGTCACTCCTACAGTCCTTCTCAGACATCTCATTTCCGTGGTTACTAATTTTCTTTTATGGTTTGTTGTGAGTGACCATGTCTGGCACTGGTAGCACAGAGTTGGAATAAATATGCTTTGAATAAGATGTCTCTTTGTGCTGATTGGGATTGTCTTATGCTGTAAGAGGGGGGCTAGCTGTCCCAATACTCGGTTTGCTTTACTGCATCTAATGTCAATTTCTTTATCCAATTTCCCATCTTCGGTAAATGTAGTTCCCAGATATTTAAACTCAGATGCCTGTTTAATGTCTTTGTATTCTATTGCTGTGTTTAGATCTGTCTTCTTTTTTCCTATTGACATTACTTCTGTCTTTTCAGTGTTGATTCTCATATTATTTGTTTTACATTCTTCATTTATGGATGTTAGATGTTGTTGCAATTTCATGGCTGTATCTGCTATCAAGGCCTGGTCATCTGCAAAGAGTAATTCGTTGATCTTACTAAGATGTTCATTCATGGGCTTGGCATTCTTGCATATACTGTCAATGTAGGTGATAAACAGCAGTGGTGATAAGACACACCCCTGTCTTACTCCAGATGTCACTGTAAAAGGATGAGATGTTCCCTGATTTATTCTAACTACACTTCTACAATCCCTGTATAAACTTTTGCACACTTCGATGAGGTGTTCGCTTACTCCATATCTTGCCATTATTTTCCATAGTAATTGTCTGTCCACTCTGTCAAATGCCTTCTTCTGGTCTACGAATGCCACAAATAAGTTCTTATTGTATTCCAATGAATGATATTACAATTAATCTACTTAATCTTGTACTCTACCGTTGACACCACATACGTCTTTTTAGTTTTGTATTCTATTGTTAATATCAAAGTGAGTCTGTTAGTAAGTTACTGTATTGTTGATGCCATACATAGAGTGTAAAATCATTTAACTAAGTGTTGGTGTTACATTCAACTTTTTACAACAATACTGACGTCACAAAATGTATTTGTAGGCTGTTACAACAATGCTGATTGCAGTGTCTATTTCTAGTCTGTGACAGCAATGCTCATGTCACAATGTCTACCTTTAGTCAGTTACTAAAGTACTGATATCGCAATGTATATCTTTAGTCTGATCCAAAAGTGCTGATATCACAGTGTGTATATCTAGTCTGTTACAGTAATGTTGATGTCACAGTGTCTAACTATAATCTAATAAAACAATGTGTTGATGTCACAACAGTCTGTGAAAAGTTTTGATTTTCTAGGATCTTCCTCTAGTTTGTAAAAATAATATTGACAGTGTCAATAAGGTTGCCATAATCCTAATTTTTGTGGGCACGTCTTAATTTCACAAGTAAATCTGAGCGTCTGCAAACAGTTTAGGATATTGTAGATTTGTCTGCATTTTTACAAGGTGAGACCAAATGTACACACTGTCAGCGACATCATGTAGTAATCTGCATAAAATATATTTTTCTAACTTGGCCCTAAAAACAGTCTAGTCTTTGGAAAACCACTAAGATTGACAACATCTAACAAACATTATTGGTGTGATTTTAACTAAAACTGTAGGAACACTGAAAGTACACTGAGAAGAAAGTAGAAAGACTTTTTTTTTAAGTTTATGTCAAATAGACCAATAAAAGAAAAAATCTTAGTGTAGATCAGGGCTATTCAACTGGCAGCCCGTGAGCCAAACGTGGCCTGCAAATGCCTAGCAAGTGGCCTGCCGATCGTTCCAAAACAGTGAAATTTATTGAAATTTAAAAAATAAATCAGTGTCTTTTATATAAATCTTCACACACAAAAAATCAGTTGTGACGAATGTGTCAATAAGTAATATATTTATCTGGAGTCTGTAAATGCAGAGATACAAGGGAACAGAAAATACCATAACTATAAGACATGGAAATATAATTAGATCAGGGTAAAAGTTAGTTTGAATAATGAGCAGAATTTGCCTGTGTGGGCCAATGTTAATAAAATTGGATGGAAAGAATCAGCTAATGAGTAGGAAAGCAAGCACTCTACAGGACAGTCAATGAAGGCGAGATATTTATTGGACAGGAGGGCACAAGAACATGCCAGCATAGTCCTGATGGTCTGCGCTTAGATTACTGAAAAACTCTTCCTAATGGTGGCCACTAGTACACACAAACTAATGACACAGGGTGCTGTAGAAAACTAATGACACTGGGTGCTGAAGAAAACTAATGACATCTGCTAGTGCTCTTGTTATCTGATTAAAATCCAATTTTCAGCGAACGTCCAGTCACACACAACTTGCACACAACTCACAACCGGACACAGATTGCCAGATGCGATCGTGTACTAACAAAATAAAACAGTAACAACGTTTTTATCTACATTTCAATAATTGTGAAAACCATGCATTTAACAATGACTGGACACTGAAATATTTATTTTTATCACCGACTATGCCTGATTCAAAACCAGTGTGCTTGCTATGCAATGAATGTGTGTCACAGTAAAGGAATACAACGTGAAGCGGCATTTTTCAACGAAACATACAGATTTGAGAAAATCCTATCCAAAAGGTTTCACTGCTAGTATTGTATGAGAATTGCTCTGACTTCACATTATCCCAGAAACGAAAATGTAATTATTCCCATTAATTACAATTGGCATCGTTATAATTTGTTGGTTTCTTCTGCACGAAGCCATATGAAACGAACTGTGGATAATTATTATTATTAATATAAAAATAACAATTGAAGTGCCAGTGCTATTTATAATTTTTATAATTTATAAATTGTATTTATAATTCCAAAAGCAAGTTCGAATAATGTGTATTTCAATTAAAAATGAGTATTAACTAATCATTACAAAAGATTGTTGTACAATTTACATTACAATGTTTTTTTTAACACTGTTTCATTTACATTACCTTAATCTAGGCCGTAGGCCTCAAAGTAACGATCTTAGAGTTTATTCAAGTCCCACACTAAAAATATTGTCATTTGTAATGAGTTAATAATCTGCCCACACTTGGATTCCGACCACTGGCCGCCGATGATTCCCATTTTTGGCCCGCAAGTCAACTTAGTTAAATAGCCCTGGTGTAGATTCAGTCAAGTCAATTTCATCTGTAAAATTTAATTTCAAACATTTCATACATCGGCAGTTCTGTTGACATTTGATACAAAAGAAAGAAGTGGACATTCTGAAGAAAAAAGTCATCAGAAAAAAAAATGACACATCTAAATGGTCTTTATTTTTACGAGAAGTGTTCTCATTTCGAAAAAAAAATATGGCAACCTTGACAATATCTCTGATTTGTTACAGCAATGTTTATGTCACACTGTATATTTCTAATCTGTTTCTTGTTGTCCTAATCCGTGTGATCTGCTCCTGTAGTTTGCCTTGTCATGATGAATTTGCCTCATCAGCTGCTCGTGCTGGTATTGCCAGACAGGCATGCTGCAATGGCCAGTTTGTTTAAACTGGGTCAAAAGTCCATCATCAGAATCACTGTCCTCATCTTCGTCAGCACTGAGTCCAAACTTGCCACACCTCTCTTCATGCTGAAACTGATCAAGTCATTGACATCAGCAATCACTGTGCTATCACATTTCTGAGCATGTTTAATTAATACAACAAAAACATCAAAACAATGCATTTCACTGTTGGACTGCTGCTGTATTCAATTATCAACACAAATAAACCATACGCTGAGCTGTACTTACATGTTTTAGTTCTGGCTAAACATCCAATCCCAAGCAGTTTATAGAAATATCAGGCAGTCTAGCATTGCTGGGGGCTGAGTCACATTGTAATATGAGCAAATAAACTGACTCCTATGTGACTTTCACGCAAGTATTAGACTGGAAATATTTTTTCGTACACCAAACACGGGAAATCCGTGGGAATGCCACAGCTGACTGGACAGTCCACTATTTCAAGGGGTGCAAGTGTGCTGCTGCGTTGTTTGCCTTTCTAGTGTTTTTTGGTGTGGCATATATCTGTCTGTTGGTGCGCAGTCGGCTACTTGTTGATGTTCAATTGCCCGGTGTACAGTACTGGTCATGTTTTTATATTACTTTGTCATGTGAATGTGTAGCATAGTTGATATCATATTTGCCTTATAAATGAAAAGTGCTGCCTTCAATCCCAACGTTTTGTGTTGTTGTTTATTTATTTTTTTATTAAATGTAAAAAAATTTTTTGCTATCCTCCGAATAACGGTCCCAAATTATCGAGGCCAAAAGTATACCCTACCAGGGCCTCAGTCATTTGTAAATTGCAGACCTCTTTCCGGCGACTATACCACCACCACTGAGAGTATCCCCCACGGCGCGCAGGGAGCTAAACTAGATGGCTGGGACTCACGAGCAAATAAAAAGGAGGAAGATGCAGGAGATGCGGTAGCTGCTGCTCGTGAGTCCCAGCCATCTAGTTTAGTCCCACTCCACGCGTAGCGGCGCGGAGGATACTCTCGGCGGTGGCAGTATAGTTGCCAGAAAACAGTAGGATCTCTGCTATGGATGTTGAACATAAACTGATATAACTTGATATAATGGAGTGCATAAATCTACACATCAGCCATAATAATCTACACATCAGCTGATAACTTGCAATAGTGGAATCCTGACAAACATGTGCCAGACAATACATTGAGCAATATATTTTTGTTGTCTTCTCACTATTTACATTTGTTACATTAAAAATTGTTTTGAGTAATATACTTGCCAGTTTTCCTGGAGTAAAAGGTGCACCACACCAAGGACACGAGAGCTTGTCTTGAAATCTGTCTGTCAATAAACAATGCCCGAGTCAGACATATTTCAGTATATGTAGCCATGAACTGATAAGCAGAATAACTTGTGCATTTTGTCATCATGATCTTAACAGGTGAGAACATTTTCAATGTATCCATCAATCTAAATTACAAACTGGAATGGCAAGTAAATTTTTTTTACACAGGACATATTGGTTCCATCAACAGTGGGCAAGTAATAAGTCATACAGTCACTATCACCAGTCAACAAAAGTGTACCCCAAATAAAAAAAGCTGATCTTAATTAATTTTAGTGTGCTGAAATAGAGAATATCATTAACAAGTTATGACTGGCTTTAGTTTTTAAGATGTGTGGAACCTGTTTCAATAATTATAGTCAGTTTATATATATATATATATGAGGCTGTTGTGGGGGATTCAATAATTATAGTCAGTTTATATATATATATATGAGGCTGTTGTGGGAGATTCAATAATTATAGTCAGTTTATATATATATATATGAGGCTGTTGTGGGGGATTCAATAATTATAGTCAGTTTATATATATATATATATGAGGCTGTTGTGGGAGATTCAATAATTATAGTCAGTTTATATATCTATATATAAGAGGCTGTTGTGGGAGAATTCAAAAATTTGTTTTCTAATGACAAATAAAAATGTTACTATAATTTGTTAGTGCAGTCCTATCTATGATAGAAAACATTACCTTTGTGTATAAATACTGTATCTTTGATAAACATTTTGCCATTAATTAGTGCATTTGTCCTTTTAAAAAGTATTATAGTTAGAAATGTATAGGACATGTGTAAACAGCCCTAATAATTATATATATATATATATATATATATATATATATATATATATATATATATATATATATATATATATATATATATACACACCCAGAAACAGACACATATACTGATACACACACACACACACACACACAAACAGACACACACACGTAGCCACAGACTTTCAATGACACACACACACATATATAAACACAGAGCAGATACACACAGACACGCACAGACATTATCAAATAGGCACACACACAGGCACAGACACACACGCACACAGACATAGAGATGCATGCATACAAATACGGACACACACATAGACAAAAACTCACACACGCAGATACACCCCCATACACACACACATAGATGCACAGACAGACATGCTTACAGACACACAAACAAAGACACACGCTCACACACACACACGCAGATACACCCACATACACATGTAGAGAGCACAGTCGTTTGACATTTTGATTTAGAGCAACCATCCCAAATTGTATAACAATAGTCAATATGCGTTTGGATGTAGGATATGTAAAATATTTTTTTGGGTGTATTTTCTTCCAGAAAGTGCTGAATTTTGCCAGGGTGATAATCTAATTGTGCTATTTTGGGGGGGTCATGGCATGAACATGGGAACTCCAAGTTAAATGATTGTCAATTAAAACACCTAATGTTTTATGTTCAACTACATTAACAGTAGGTAATTTGTCAATGAAGAGTTCAAGCGTGTGGCTTGTGTAAAGCTAATGTTTTTAGCTTTTGCCTATTTGTTATTTCCATGGATTTAGTTTTATTTATGGTAATTTGCATGCGATTATCATTGCTCTATTTTATGTTTGTCTATTTCTTTCTGTAAAGAACGTTCTAACTCATTACAATTATCATGACTAGTATATATTGTACAAACATCAACAAACAGATCACATGTTATACTGAGACGAAACGGAAGGTCATTAATATAAGTGGCAAAAAGTAGTCGGCATAATGTTGAGCCCTAAGCAACGCCTATATTTAACTGTGGATTTTGAGTAACGGTTACTGAGGGAAACTAACTGATGTCTTTCAGGCAAAAATGACTTTATTAATATCACTAAATTATCGTTAGTTTTTAAGGTTTTTAATATACTGATTAAAATATTGTGATCAACCATGTCAAAGGCTTTCATATAGTCAACAAATACTGCACCGAAAATGTTACCATTGTTAATGTTAAAGTTCCAGTTATCTGTAATTTTTGTCAACGCAGTATGATTAGAGTGTTTAGGTCTGAACCCTGACTGACTATCAACTTTTTGTTATTTAAATGCTGAAACATTATTTTATTTATGTGTTTCTTTACTGGTTTAGATAGTAAGGTTCGTAGAGAAAAGGGTCTATAGTTGCCCAGAGAACTGTTGTCAGCCGAACAAGATTTAAGCAGAGGATAAACTTTAGCAATTTTAAATACTGATGGAAAGTAGTTCTTGGCAAGGCATTGATTATATATGCACGTTCAGGGGTCACTAACTGGTGCAGCACATCCAAGGATTCCATGACTGATTCCATTCAAGCCAGAGGAGATTGTTTGGAGAGAGAATTATACACTTGGTCAACAGTCATAAGGGGAATCTCAGACAAAATAGTGAATTTTTCTCACATGCACTCTACCATATCAAGTTATCTGTGCTACCTAGATTTCTCTGTGGCTGATTTTCAACGGCAAACTATGTCTTCTGCAGTCCCAGTGATCTGGAGAAAGCCTACTGATCAATCTCAACAAGTGCTTCTTTTGCATGGTCCCTCCAGCTTGGAAAGGTTTTTAAAAAAAAAAAAGGAACACACTGACACTGGAATATCCAAACATGCATTCTGCAGTGCGACCGGTACTACATGGCCATGACCTACCAGTTCCTAAAGTGCCAAAATCATTTTCTGCTTCTTCTACTGATGAAGAATAGGCCAATGGATGGTCCTAAACCATCAATCTCAAGCCACCCAGACTTTCAGAATACATCCGTTACCCAGCATTTAATAACCTACAGTGAAGTGTATGATCCTGTAAGAGCAATAAATCTACTGAAGAACAAGGTGGGGCTTTTGGGTTCCAGATTGCACTATTGCAATTTTTTGTCAGAAGATGTTAGAATTTCTGTGTATAGGAACCGCCAAAAGCGGCTTATTACATTCTTTTTCCAAGAGGGTGAACTTTCTGTGCACCATAACATTTCTGGTTTAATGGCAGCTCTCAAAATCAATTACAAACTAGAGCAATCAAGGCTTTTCACTGATTCATCCAAGATGGGTCTTAGAACTGTTTTATTAAATAATGGTCAATTTCTGTTGGTCACAATTTTCGAAAGAAATGGAAACATTCAGCCATTTTTGAAGTGTGTAAACTATTATCACCATAAAATGGTAAAAACAAGGGTGACTGAAGTTAAGCTGATACCAAGGAATTAATCCAATGAACAATGACTGAAAAGCTTAAGGAAATAGGGAAGCAGAAAAACATGCACAAAACAACACAAAATGACATTTCGCCGTTTGACCTTTCTGGACAAGAACATGAACTACAACGGCCATTAGAAGTAGTCTACCCCTTGTCATGGCCGTTGTAGTTCATGTTCTTGTCCAGAAAGTTCCAGCGGTGAAGTGTCATTTTGTGTTGTTTTGTGCATGTTTTTCTGCTTCCCGATTTGGCACTCTTCCGACCGATTTTGTTAAGCTTCTCAGTCATTGTTCATTGGATTAATTCTATGATCATCATGACTGGTCACTTTGCGGTGACTTAAAGTGATCGCTCTTCTGCTTGGACTACAGGATGGATATATTTGGTACTGTCACTTTCTCTGTGTGATGGCTGTGCACAAAGTGACCATTACATCAGAAGACATTGGATCATCAGGCAGTCACTGCAGCCTGGCAGTAAGAATGTGGAGAATCCAGTACTTGTCGACACTAGACAGATTGTGTTGCTATCCTCGCA